TACACACCACCACTACTTCTGTTCCACAACCAAATGATGACATCTATTCCAAAGACTCGGATTTGACGCCACAAGACATGAGACAATACTCGTCCACTGCATTCACTTACAAATCGATACCTATATATCCTCCGACTCCTTCACTCATCGTTTAATCACTAATTGATTGCAAACTTTTATTCTTAAATTAGTTTTTTACTAAAATATGTTTACAATAATCTTATATTTACGGCAATTAAGTGATGTTTTGTTAACAAAACCAAAGTTCTAACATACGGTACAAATGATAGTTAAGAATATATTGGATGACAATATTCAGACGTTTGAGATAAAGTTTTTTATTAAAATATTTAATTGAAAATCATTTGTTTTGTTGCATAAGTTGTTCGGATAGCCACTCGACCCCATCCATCAATCCCTCGCCGGTCATTGCATTTGACGCCTAATATGAGATGAGATTTGTTAATGATTTCATTAATTGTTATTTAACTCACATTAATGTATTATTTAGAGTCAGATTTTTTATTTTGGTAGTAAACTATACTTAAATATATTTGACTCGTAAATAAATATAAAAGTTGTGACAAATCTAACTGATTTGGTTGCATTTGAAACAGTACATGGTTAACATACTGTACCTGTATATGCCAGGCCTTGTTCTTGAACTGATCCAAACCCAGAGTTTGGCTAATTTTGACGCTCGAAAGTGACTCTTTTAAGTCCATTTTGTTGGCAAAGAATAAGATGGGAATCGATGGCTTGGATGCGATGTCCGTATGCTTTAACATCATTTCGAGTTCATCTTTGGCCACAACTAATCGCAAGGAGTCTGAGCTGTCGATTACGAATATGATTCCCTCAACGCCTTTATAATAGTGTTCCCATAGGTTGCGATACCTTCCCTGACCCGACATATCAAATGCAGTAAACGTTAAGTTTTTAATTTTAAATTTTTCCACATTAAAGCCAACGGTTGGCACGATTTCACTGGTCTTCTCTTCTGGAGGCTTAAAGTGGTTCATAATAGTAGTCTTTCCGCTGTTATCCAGACCCACCACAAGTATATTGGCCTCACGTTTCTTAAAGCCTAAGAGTGTCAACAATTTGGTGAAAAATGCCATTTCACTAATGTGTGAAATTTGTTATTTTAGCACTACATTCACCACATATTAAAAGCTCATCACAAATCACTTTTAGCCGTAAATGACAATTGATTTGTTTAGCTTTTGTGGTCCCGTTGTCAGTGGATACCATTGGATACTATTGTACAGAGTATTCATCATAACTTATTCTTCCTTATAATGTGTGCTATAATTCCAAAGAATTGCTTATTTTTTAAAATTGATATACAGTATCACTGTATCACTGTATCATATTCAATTCAAGTAAAGTGTGTGTATCATAAGTAAAAATAGTTTATTTATCAATCAACTTAATATATTGAAGAATTTAAAACTTTATTTATTATTTCGAAAATATTGAAACCCCATTTATGAAAATTATCATAAATAAATAAATAATTTTGTATGAATTACTTTAGTAAAAGGTTTGAGTTTGTAATTAGGATAATTAAAATATTAAATCCCTATAAATTATACAACAGAATATAATAAAGGTCATCAAAAATGATAGTTTGACCATCAATTTGTGTGAACCTGGTTCATCTGAAGTGGTTATGTTTTCAGTGCCCATATTGTCTATGCTTTGTGTACGCAATTCCTGCTGACTTTGTGTATTTAATAAATGATATTTTACAAATTTATTGATTAATCAAACAACTGGTAAGACTAACCCATCATTATTGTCCTCAAATCCATAAGTGTCACTCCCAGTGAACCCTTCAATTGGTTCACTATATCTGTCAATTTGTTTGTCTATGTTTTGTTTAAAAATTGAAGTCGTAATGGATATTGAGATGACAAATACTATTCCTATTGAATATATTCTTAAGATATAAGACATTTAGTTTATTAGATTTAAGTAACTAATGTATGTTTTGAAAGAACAGAATTAAATCAAACAAAATTCAAATGAAATGCTTAACAATTAAAGTTATCATCATGTAACTTTCCTATTGAATATTGTTGCAAATTAGCGTTTATTAAAATAGAGATTAATGTGATTTTATTAATTTATCATTTTATTATATAAAATTATGTTAAATCAATAGAGTAAATTAAAATCAATTTTTTGAAATAATGAGAATTTAGATGTAATAATAATATAAAGGATAACAAATTTTTAAAGATTGAGATTTGAGTGAATAATTTAAGAGCTGACGTCGGGCGTAACAACAGGAGTACTGGTTTTAGTATCAATGGTTTGAATCTCATTTTCTTGACCTTTTCTTCGACAACGGGTCACCAAAAGGGCAATCAATATCAGTACCACAATGACCACAACTACTACACTACCGGTTATGATGTAAAACATCCAGTTAAATGTTGAACACATATCCGATATATTTTTCTGATCACTGCATTCGAGTTCAACTTCCGATTGCTATTATTTTAGACAACTATTAGACCCAAAAAATGTTTTCATACCCACAAAACCAAACCTTTAAATTATAACTGCATTCATAATACTTAGTTCGCCACCGGGTGATTTCACTAATAGTTTGTGTCTCGAATAAATAGACAGTTTTGTTGTCATTGTCCACAAACCCCGCGTCTACCTCCCGAAGGTCTGGAGTGCTTCCCACCCAACGAATGGCTTTGTTTTTCTTTTGCCATCCCTTCTCAACCGAACAGAAGACGAGCTGTGATTCCTTCGTCCCTATCGTATCGATTCAATCGATTTAAGTTTAATTTAATATAATTTATGTCCGAAATTACCGTAAATGAAGAGCACGCCAAAGGACTGGAAATATAGGATGGCCCTGATGTCATGGGTATGTAGTTGTAACCGAAACATATTTGGTTCTTTAGCCAACACCTCCAAGATGTCAATCTGTTGATGCCTAATGTCTGCGTTAACGAGGTTCTGCCAGCCGTCAGTCGAGTAATAAGTAAACGGGATTAATGTTCTTGGATCCATGGGCACCTACATTCAAATTGGGGTTTTAATGTTTATTACAATATACTACAATTAAAACAAAAAACTTTACAAATCTTTTTACGAACTTATCAATAAAACTTTTGATGTAAATAAATATTTGTTATTACATTCTAAGGGTACATTTGAAATGTATTGAAAGTTTGATCTATTAAATGCACTTAAAATACTTACATTAAATAGATATAACTTTTCGACAACATTAACACAATATCCGTCAAAATCAATAGGGAATGCATAGGCCTGTCCAGTCAGTCCATGTTCTTGTGTGAGTTTAGTGCGACCATTGGTTTGAATGGCACTGATTTGTTGTGAATAGTTAGTAGGTCTCCCGTACTGGTAAATGGCATAACTGTTACGTTGCCATAAAATGTAAGAATCGTTGACCAGATTTGAGATCGTTATGAATCCATCCAAATGTTGTGAACTTCCATTGGAGCAAAATATCGGCGAACATATTATGCAAGGAATACTCAACACTAATATAATAATTATCACTAACTTTAATCCCATTTTACAAGAAATTCAATCTTCAAATTGATTTCTGAAACACAATTTAGAGCTAAGATTTTGAATTTCTATTTTCACGCCATTTACGAATTATTGTAATTTAATTGGATATCAAATATAACAATGAAAGGTAGTGCTACTAAAGTAATGCTTACAAATAGACTTTAATTTTAGCCACAGTATAGGCCCTATACTATAGGGTAAGCAAATTATAATAAATTATATCAATTGAACCAACAAATCAATTACCGGTAATAATTTAGTTAATTTTAATCTCAAAAATTAGACAATAAGTTAAATTACAAATCATAAGTAAATAGTTAATACATTCTCACATTGATTGAAATGTAATAAATTTAATTTAAACTGTTTGTTATTATAATGTAATTAAAAATGAGAAAAAGTAAAAAAGCGATAGAAGTGATCAGTGAATGGAAGTGAATGTATGCGAGAGTTATGCGTTCCTAATGCCCAACGCCTGCTCCAATTCAGCCCTCCTTTGCTGTACTTTGCCGTAGAAGTAACGACAGACCGCCTCCTGAGTCCACGACTGGAAGAAAAAGTCGGAATTGCGCTCCTCTTCAGGATTTCCCAATTGGTCTGTCATTGTCTGCAAATGAACCACAAAATGAATATCGATTTCCAACAATACAATAGTATTGACGTCAAAGTGGTCTTACCTTCAAATCTCTCATCTGAGAGATAAGCCATTTATTGATGAACTGTTGCGGATCTGTTGAGAAGCTTAAGAAGAACTCGCGATTCGTCTTCAATTGGTTGATAGTCTCAACGGTTTCGTGAATCTTATTATCGAGTGATTGGATCTCCTGTTGGCTGGCAGTGGACAGCAAAAAGTTATTCATCTGAATCTTCAACGGGTCGTCCACTTCGACGTCAATGTCATAGCAGGAGGTCTTCTTCATGTCGGGGCCCTCGACGCTAATCAGATGGTTGATGACAATAGGGTCAGGCGGATGGAGCAGATGGTGGAGTCGGGAGGGAATCTCCGCGAACTTCATGCGCTGGCACTGAAAGATTTGCTCCAAATATTTGTCGCAATTTATGAATTCCCTTTCGTGCGGGTCCTGGAGTTTATGGGTTTTGATGTATTGCCACAACGCGTTGATAATGACGGGTCGTGTCTGGGTGTGAATGCCGAGGAGTCGGGCGAGTCGTGGGTCCAGTTTGAACTGCAGGGGCTGGTAGTCCAGCAGCAGGAGTATAGTGCAGCGCACGTTCTTATCGCCCGGACGTTTCACTTGAAAGC